ATAAACTTTTTTTTCTAGAAGTGCATTTTTATATTTGCTAGAAATAAGTTATTTTCTTCATTTTTAATTTTAAAAAAATTATTTTGTATTAACTGCCCTTTTTTACGTTTGTAATTGAACAAGTTCAACGAAAACACTTTTTCCAAATTAAGGTCGTTGCACTGAGAATTTGCATTTATTGACTTAATATATTTATAGCTTGAGTTGTTCCAAAGATAACAATGAGCATGCAATATCTGATAAATGATGTAACACGTGATATGACATATGCACACAGTAAACAGGGTGTGTAATGATGTACCAGGTGAAGAGCAGGAGAGCTAGTTTAGGCTAAATAGAATCTGGTTAGTCTGGTCAATTTAAAAGAGTTTCTGTATGCACTGCGACTATGATTAAACAAGATCTGCATTAAATGGGTGCTGATTCATTTCCTTTGTGTCTGTCACGTGCAACTTTATTGAATGTAAGTGAGTATCTGCTGTCGTTCTTCTGACTGAAGTCTGTTCTGTTGCAGTTATGGGAAACCGTATGAACCAGTGACGTGGTGTGAGAACATCTCCACTCCTGTTTGTGACATGACGGATGTGATGACCCATGTGATGAGCGATGTGACCTCTAAATATCATGTCAAGGTCAGTGCCGGTGGACGGTGCTTGGGAGAGGTGATGTTCACTCCGTTTTGGGAAAGTAAGTTATTTTGTATTTACTTCAGCTCAAATTATGTTTGTGGTCAAGCTAAAGGGATAGTTCACCAAAAATGAAAATGTGCTGTTAATTAACTCACCCTCAAGCCAACTATACAAGATGTAGGCACATTTTTCTCTTCAGTTGAACAGTAAAGAAGATTTTTATCTTTTAGATTTTTGAAACCGTGATCACTGGTGATTCATAAATGCAAGTCAATGGCTACCGGCACTTTAAGAGTAAAAAAAACACATCAGGCAACTCAAAATTAATCCATGTGGCTCCTGACAATATATTGAGGTCTTATGAAGCGAAACGATCAGTCTGTGCAAGAAACTCAACATTATTTACGTCATTGTAATCCAGAGCCTTAGGTAAACAGTCTGGAGTGATGTCCGGTTCACGAACAAATCATCCTGGCTACATACACACTGCAGCTAAATTCGGTTGTCAGTTCACCTTTTACTCCTTAATCGGGTTCTGTACACACATAATTCACTAAAATACAACCGCATTTACAGAAATTCTACGCAGTGTGTTACGTAATTGAACTGAACAACTAGTCGTTAATGACGTTTTTGAACATGCACCAGAAATGTGCCTTCATCTGTATGTGAGATGCAAGAAAATAACAATGAAAGAAGTCTTAATCTTAGCACATTTTGACACGGGGCTAGTTGCGGCTCACAAACCCTGTGGTAAAGTGTCAGTGTTGCCAGATCTTCATAGAAAAGAGAGAAAAAAAAACAACAAACAAGGACAGGCACAAAAAACACTAAAACACCCAAATGCTTTGTTTTATAGCACTAAAAAACCATATATCTCATATCCGCAACAGACCACTTTATTAACTCCATAAAGTGCCTGGCTTTATGAGCTAAGACCGAACAACATACCTAAAAGCGCTTGTAAATATGAGGACATGGCAACACTGCAAGACAGCGCTCTCTAAAGCAGCCTCCCGAGCATAAACAAAACACAGCACGTCTATCAGCGGTAGTCTAGTTAAAATTGACGGACAAAAAGAGTCTTTAGCCAAAAAATGGCACATACCAAACGGCAAAGACGGCAAAAATGTTAATTTTGACTTATTTTTCTGAAAACACGACAATAATTTTTACTTGTCTAGAATATCCTTCTTGATTTAAGAATTTTTAGATATCTCGGCTGGAAACAAGACAAAAAATCTAAGTAAGAAAAGTAGTTTTTGCAGTGTAATTCAAATATCCGATAAGTGTCGCTAAAAGTTAATGCTGTATCGTGTTGGAAATATCCCCTACACCAAACCCAACCCTAAACCTACCAGATAGTGTCAACAAATGCAGAAGTAATATAAAAAACACATTTGTTGATGCAGCCGTGCCATTTTAACTTCCTTATGCGGATCTGAGTTGTTCTGTCGAACCGTCGTTTCACGGGGTTCGTATCTGAGCTCTTCATCTCTCAAGTGCAACGCCGTATCGCGTGAGCTACCGAGCAAACATTAGAATTAATTAGAAAACTCACGCATATGAAGCTGGATATGTGACGAGACGTTCAAAAGTATCAGTTTTCAAATTTCGCAGCATGTTAAAATTGTTTAGAATTCATAACATAATATTCCTCAAGTAATTATGCGAAAATTAGGCTTTATTAATGGAAACTGTGGACCTGCAAATCATATTTTGTGTGAAAAAGAATAAAAGTTGTTGGAGTTTTACTGCCTCTAGTGTTTCATTTCAACTGGAAACTGCAGCGATTCGTGTGTATAGGTACGTTTTTTTGAGTTTCGCAGAAATGTAGGTAGAGGCATGTTTTTCCAATGAGCCTATGTTGGATGTCATTGTGTGATTACGTAAACCAACTAGGGATGTGAACCAGTTCATTGAAACAAACAGTCCCAAAGAACCAGTTCGCGGAAAAGAATCATATTTCCTCATTTGCCTGAGGCTCTGGGTTACAGGTAATAATGTTGTAAATAATGTTCAGTTTCTTGCACAGACTGATTGTTTCACTTCATAAGACCTCAATATATCAGTCAGGAGCCATGGGGATTAATTTTGAGTTGCCTGATGTGCTTTGTTTGACTCTCAAAAATGTGCAGCCGCTGACTTGCATTTTATGAATCACCAAGGACCACGGTTTCAGCTAAAAATCTTCTTTACTGTTCTGCTACAGAAGTAAACTCACCTACATCTTGGATGGCCTGAGGGTGAGTAAATTAACAGCTAATTCTCATTTTATGTGAACTGTCCCTTTTAACAACAACATCTTAAACAGCAAACATCATAAACTGTCTTGATGGTTTCTCAAAATCTGTCTCTCTGTCTCGTTTCAGCCACATTCGCAGCTCCGCAGCTGTCAGTAACGTCAAACCAAACCCATCTGAATGTGACGGTTTCGCCGCCGATGGCCGCTTGGAACTGCTCTATTGAGAATATCGGCTTTTGGGGAAAAGGTTTCCAGAGATCCTCGATTAAGTACACAGTTCGTCTGACACATCCCGAGTCACTGGCTGGAAAGGTTATTATTCCTGATTCTCCTTCAGTCGTTATTAGGATCCATTAGGATTCATGTTATTATTTACTTACTTAACTTTATTGTCCTTCAAAGCAATTCTTTATGTATTAGTTGCTGTCTCCATATATATGTGTGGAAACCTGTGCATTCTGTCTTTTTGCAGGTATTTGAGGACACGTCTCGCTCAGTGTTTCTTTGGCTTGTGGAGACAGACGTGCAGTACTGTGGTGATGTGTTATATACACTCACACATCCCGGTCGGTCCAGTCCCAGTGAAAATGCCTCCTTTTGTGTGACTGTCTCAGGTAATTCAACAGTTTGTGCTTTGATTGATGTGTAGAAAACTATAGTCCACATTCCGATGACTGAATCTGAACACCCATCATTTAGGAAAACAATTCATGTTTTCAGTGTTTTATTGTTTCCCTTCATTAATACCCTAACTAAATCTACAATTTACATTATTTATTTATTTATTTATTCATTCATTCATTCATTTTTGAGCTTATTCTTTTTTATTATCATTATTATATTTATTTATTTTCTTAGACATGAATGTATATAGAATGCAAAATAATGATAGCAAATAAGACAAAGTCATTTTATTTTACTATTATGTAACAGAAAATGTGCACTATATACGATTGTCAACTACTTATTTATGTATTCATTTATTCATATTTTTTGCTTTTTTTTTTTTTACAAATTTTTATTTATTTTCCTAGATGAATGGCCACAGTGTATATAATGCAAAATAATGAAAGCAGTTGAGACAAAGTTGCTGAAATTAAATAGTAACCTATTTCACAGTGTTTACTATTATATAACAAAAAATGTGCATTATATACAATTGCCAACAAATTACTGATTTATGTATTTATTTATTTATTTATTTATTTTCTTAAACATAAATGGCTAGTATATGATGCAAAATAATGACAGCAATTGAGACAAAGTTGTTGAAATTAAATAAAACCCTATTTCACAGTGTATTCACATCATTATATACGATTGCCAGCAGATTTTATAAGTGACACCAAACTGAACTTTATATTCATCTGCAATTTCTGTGTCTTTCAGCACCTAAATCCTGGCTTCATATATTAATATGGCCTTGTCTGCTGGCTCTGCTGCTGCTGATCGTTCTACCCATCATGCTTTGCCAGCTGTCAGTAAAGAGAAAGAGCTCCTTACCGAAACCGCTGGTAAGTGATTGTGTCATATTCACTGTGGGAAATTCCAGGTGAACATACCTGGAATGGGCTCCCATCTTACCGGCAGTGAAAAGTCCTGTTTGACAAGAGCGTCACGTTTCTCTTAAGCCCCTGAAGGAATGCGTCTTATCTGCACATTGCTCTCGGCAACACAAAATGAGTTTATCATGTCGATTACGGTAAGCAGAATTAAACATCTGCTGCCAGAACAACAGTCACGGATTTTCCTTGCAGCACTTCTGCGCTTTCATGGATTATTTACCCTGTTTTGGATTTTGAGATATTATAAAAAGTCTTATCCGTTTGTGATGTGAAAAGATAAATCATGCATGTTGATATTTGCTCAGTAAATTGGCTCAGTTTGAGTTCTTGTGTAACCTTGTGTAGTTGTGTTGATTAATCAAGTCAATATTTGGCTTCACAAAACGTCTTTCACTTAAACTTCCCTGTGGACTACGACTCGTTTGATGAATCAATTCTGCTTCATTCTGTTTCAAATACATGAATCTAGAATCAAATATGATCGTATGTGAATTTTATAAGTCAGGGATTTCCACACATTTTTGTCAGCCAAATCTTTGACCTACAATATTTACTTGAAGTAGGATAAATATTTCAATAACTTAACAGCATATTTGCATGTTCATGTTTCTCTGATGTTGATTAATGTTCACATGACATGCATTAACCACTTTTTTATTATTTTATTTTTATTATTTTAAATTATTTATTTTTGGGGTTTAAATGATTGTTTGAAAGTTTTATTTCGATTGTTTTATTTGAAAATGATTTCTTTTCATTTGAAATTTTTCTTATTTAATTGGTTTTTAGTAAGTGTTTTGGTTGCTTTTGTAATTTTTTGGACATTTTATGATTTAATTAGTTTGTAGTGTTTAAATATTTTTTATTTTGCAATGATATATTTTAATTCAACATTTTTTCTGATTTAATTAATTTGTAATTAGTGTTTATTTTTAATTTTATTTATTATTTAAATTTTAAAGGTGTTTTATTTTTATCATTTTTAAATTATTTATTTAGATTTTACATTTTATGATTTTATACATTTTTAGCACGTGTTTTATTTAGATTTTAATGTTTTTATTTTACAATATATCTTAATTTGACATTTCTGATTTAATAGATTTTTTAGTGTTTTATTTCGATTTGCTTTTATTTAAAAATTATTTATTTTTATGTGATATTTTATGATTAAGTTGATTTTTATTTAGTGTTTTATTTAGATTTATATTTTAAGATGATTTTTTTTTTTTTTTTTTGACATTTTTATTATTTAAATGGTTTTTAGTAAGTTTTTTATTTGCGTGGTTTTTATTTTAAAATTATTATTAGCTTCAAATTAGCGTCATAAACTCACGATTTGGGAAACATAGTTAAAAGTGATTTAAGTGACCAAACGTCCCAGTTTACCTGGGATAGACTGGTGTACCAGCAATTTATTTAAAAATATAAATATATATCCTAAATATCCGATAGGCTCAAAAACTCTCTCCTCTCCCCGTAAAACAGATCCTGCCAAAGAACAGCAGTCCTGCGTTTTGTTCATATCCCAGAGACGACATCTCTAAAGTGGAAGTGTGGTCCGGATTTGTTGCGACGGTTGATCCACAGGCTGTTTTTCCTACGCCTAAGTCAGAGATCGTGGTTAATGATGCTTACGCATCCCAGGAGCCCTGTGACCAGGAGTGGACACACGATCAACCGGACATCCCGGTCCAGGACAGCCCAGAGTCTTCTGTGCACTACAGCATGATTGTGCCTGTCCAGATCTCCATCGAACCACCATCTGATGGCACAACAGATGAAACCCACTCGGATTCATTTGGTCCAGAGTCCATTTCGAGCTTTTCAATAAGACATTCAGACACCGAAAACAACAGCGGGCCACTGGTGGTACCGGTTAGACCCACTAAAAACGGTGCGCTGCAGTTTCACGACTGTTTATTCCAGTGTGACACTGGTCAAAATTCTCCAGAACCTTCCCAGGACTCAGAAGGTTTATCTGGAGAACAAACTCCTTTACTATCTGACCTAGTTCAAAAGGACTCCAGGTGTAGCTCATCCTACCTGCCCTTACATGTTTCTGATGTTGTGACGTCAAACTACAGGCAAAACTGGCTGCCAGGGATTCCTCTGGAGGGACAACAAGACCAGAGGACTTATGTTATGAGGACAGACCACCTCCAGGACTCAACTGAACCCGATGAGGACTTCATAGATGAAGAGGAACCTAGAGTTGGTGTGATCTTTCTGGACAGGTGGATGGTGGAGACACAGGGATTGACTTTGTCTTGCAACTAAACCGGCGGAGCTTCTTGCTCATCTCAGTGCTCATCTTAGTACGTCCATGCAAGATATAAAAAAATGTTAAACGATCATCTGTCGGATTTTGCCAGCTCATTGCATCAGGTAGTTGTGTAGGAAGTGGCGCAAGTTTGAGAGTTCGTACAAACGTTATGAGTTCACTAGCTTCACTTAAAGGTCTTTCCGTATGAAATCAACCAAACTTCAAAAACCTTCCCAGCTAAAATGCTTGATTTTGTTACTTTTTTCTGAAAGACAAACATAAAAAGTGATGAAAGCCAACATATTACGTAAAATATAGATTAATATTTACTGAGTAATCCACTATTTTGTCAAAATGTGGGGTCAAAATGACCCTTTTCACCTGAGATTTGGAGCCATATTATAGGTGGGAAAAATGACTTTAGAAAATGGCAGCTACATCATGTTAATATTACACAGAGATTGGTAGGTCTATTAGTAAAATCCGTTGACTTAAGCAATATTTGTTGCATTATGTGCCAATGGTGACCATTCAAAAATGGAAAAAATGCACTTTTTGTGATTTTTTCCAAAGTTTGCATGCCTGAAACTCAAGAAGTATTAAAGATATCTTAATGTTATTTTAGATGTTGGTTCTTAAGAAAAGTTTCTTTTGTAATCTTCATTTTTAAGGCCCAATGTGGTTCAGTTCCAGAGGTATTGGGGTCTCAATTTGGCTCCATGAGTAAATTGTTAAACTCTACACATTAACAGCGGTCAAAAACCAAATGCAAATACAAAATAGTGGATTACTTAGTAAATATTCATCCATAGCATGTAAAGTTTTGGCCTTCTTTCACAATTATGTATTTCTCTCAACAGAAAAAAAAAAAAAAATTATATATATATTTTAGCCAGAGACCTTGAGTTGAGTTGACACAAAATGACCCTAAAGGGAATTTCAAAAACAATGAGTGTTTTCAAACTGGCACTTTGACTGAAACTAAGCTTATCTGTAGCATTGCCATTTTCACAAGTGTTATACCATTTGTTTGTCAATATGTCTCTGTTTTAACTTATTTGACTATTTAATTAATGCATAATGCATAATGCATAATGCATGAGTCAAAATGCAGACAAACCTGAAATACATGTTGTAATTGCTGTGTTGTTGCATTTTCCAGCAACATTTTTACAACATTGACGGGTTTGACAGTATTTGTTGCACTAATCTGAATAACGTGAAGGTCAGCATGAAATACTGTTCAAAACCCATTTAACTTCTGATGCATTTCTCAGGGAAACAAGATATTCAAGAAACGTTTGCATATCTGTTTATAATCGGATTGATGGCTCAGTTGGACTGAAAATAGTTCATGTAAACACCTCAATCGATCTAATTGAGCTTGATCTGAATGGACATGAAATTCAACTATATTCTCAATCTGAGTAAAAAATACCTTTTGCACATGCACAGTGATAGGGTTACATACGTTTTACATCATTCGAATGTGTATAGTATGCCCTGAAGTTTTGTTTTGAATTGACCTACATGAAATGCACATGTAAATTAATATGTGAATCGTATTGCAACATTTATGGTTCATGTAAACAGAATTTTCAGAATCTGAAATCAGATTGGATTCGTTCTGACTGATGAAAATTAGTGCAAGTAAGCATACCAAATGAGAAAAAATGTCATGCAACTCTTGATTTTATCAGTTTTTATTGATTTGATCATAAAAAGAGGAAAGTAATAGAAAAATTTTAATAGCATGCAGTAATGAATCGCTTACAGTAAGGCAATGGATGCATTAAGAAAGTTAATGAGGCTCCTTTTGATTTCATGCTGACTTTTATGAAACATTTTAACAGTAACTTTGAAGGGTTTGGTCTTATTTCATTGTGCAGCTCTATACAAACAATGACAGACCTGGAAGGCGTGTCTGTAAAAACACGTCTTAAACATAATGCTGGAAATTTCCACACTCGTGAATTATATATTTGCATACCAGATAAAAGACTCTCATGTTCCTTGGAGTCGGTGTGAAAGGCTTCATGGGGATTTTACAGTCTGCAGCTATGAGGAAGTGCTGAAGTGTGTTAGGTGCTGCGAAATACCTCAGAAACACTGACAAAAGGAGGAAACGAACATATAATTGCAAGGTGAAGAAAATCAGGAAATCAGGAAAAACAACCCTAGTCTAAATCTTCCATAAACTTATGGCGAGTTGCAGACGCTTGATCCTCAAACATGTCAATTATGTTATTTAAATAATGTACTGTTCATCTCATATTGGACTAGCAGTGTATTGATTTGATTGGCATAGTAAAGTTTTTTTTTAAATGTGCTTTCACTTTAATTTTTGATGAGTCATTGTGAATATTACAGTATATTGGTTCTCTACTGTAAGGTTTGTTATGGTAAATTATGCTTAGTTTTGCTCGAAACATCACTTGTTTTGCAGCGCCGATCTCATCCACATTTAAACACTGTACAGAGAGCAAACAATGCAAAGGTCAGAGTCATTTTCATCACACGCTCATAAACCGTTCACAGTGATAATATGAGAAAATGATTATCTAAAGGTGACAAAGTTCCTCTGTTGTTGCGTGACAAAACAGGTCACCTTTCACCCGGAAAACAGAAGGAAAAATATATGCACTGGGTTCAGTAAGATTTTTAATATTTAAAAAAAAACAACAAGGCTGCATATATTTGATCAAAAATACAGAAAAAAATAATACAATTGTGAAATATTATTACAATTTAAAATAATGTTTTTTTATTTTAATATACTTTAAAATATAATTTATTTCTGTGATGCGCAGCTGAATTTTCATCATCATTACTCCAGTCTTCAGTGTCACATGATCCTTCAGAAATCATTAAAATATGCTGATTTGCTGCTCAAGAAACATTTCTGATTATTATCAATGTTGGAAACTGTTTTGTGACACTGACATTTTTGACATTGTTTCTGTAATGTCTCAAGACTTGTTTTGGATTCTCATTAGATTCTCAGTCAAGTGAAAGTTGAAGTAAACTTAGTTATAAAACTGTAATCATTAATAATGTCTCTCATCAGTTCATTATCTCCAGTGTCTCTGAGGCGTAATTAATTCAGATTCCCAGTGCTGGAAATATAATTTGGTTGATGATCTTACTCTTCCCCCAAAAATACACAGACTAGATATAATATATTTTAATTTTCACAGCTCATTATGAAGTTGGTGATTGATTTAGGTCGTGGTAACTTGTTAATCTGCCTTTTAAAGTTTAAAGTTTGTTTCGCCATCTGTTTCATTCTGTGCTTGGTAATTAATTGAATGTCTGTTTAATGAGTAATAATCAAATAGAACAGGTGCATGAAGGTTGGAATGTTCATTTTTATTTTACTTTTTTTAGAACAATAATGTGTAGAAAAGAGCAGTTTAAAGCACTGTTGTAGAGCAGTGCAGTGTTTGTGATCAGTGATTAAACATTCACTCCTCGCAGGTGTGTAGATTACAGGTGAAAGATCTGTGAGATGAAGGACTGGAGGTGTAAATCTCATTAAGGCTTTTAGGTTTTATATGGCTGTTAGTCAGCTGCGTTTTATATATTTATACAAGAGTTCTTTCTGGTCCTCAAAACTTATTGGCTGAGAGGTCTGTCCACACATGAGATATAGGTGCGGTCATTTAGTTAATTTCAGCAGAATATAATTAAAATGTTTCATGTTAATAGCCAAATTCCCCAACACATTTCACTTAAGAAAAAAACTATATTGCACCAATGTACCCACACAGAAATTTTGGTCAGATTTTTTTTTTTAAAAAGATTATCCGATCTCATTTTGCAAGTGACTTTTCTTTCTGTTTTAAAGATGCTTTCTTTTGATTGTTTGACTGCTCAAAAGAGAAAATAAATATAAAATATAACTTAAACATAAATATAACTTAATTAATTTGTGTTTCCTGCTAGATAAATTTCACATAAACAAAAATCCTGCTCTAAACCTCTCTTTTATTTATTTAGAGTTGATCTAGACAAGTATATGGAAACTATCCAAAGTTCTGTTAATCCTAAAGCAGTGAAAACTGCATCTCTATATTCATCCTGTGTGTCCTCTTGAGGTGAAAAAAACAAACAAACATATAGGCCTATAGGACTATAGTTAAACCATGGTAACCACAAATTAACCATGGTTTTGCTTCACTAACCATAGTTTAACCATGGTATTTGTAGTAAAACTGGTTATACTAAAAAAAAATAAAGGCGGTTACTACACTTTTACTGTAATAAAATCTGAATTTTCTTAAGGGATTTCTTTGTGTATTTTTCTTTCTTTCTTTCTTTTTATAACTGTACTGCCTTAATATTTTGATGTTTTTTACTGTTTAGAAATCAGAAAAAGATTCGCCATACGCGCTCCGAAGTCCAGGTCTGAATCAAATGATTCTCGAACCCGCTCCGAAGTTACGATTTAACTCAAATGATTCACAATCCGTGCTCCATCCCGATCTGAAAAAAGTATGGTGTACCATCATTTTAGGGATCGCCACTCCGAAGTTCCGATCTGAATCAAAAGATCGAACACGCTACGAAGTTCCCATCAAGGTACTAATGAACGTACACGCCCACTGCTGGAGCGGTTCTCGTTCTCGAGTCAAGAACCAGTTGCATCGGTTTTCGGATCACCGGTACACTCAACCGAGAACCGTTTCTTTCGGACACGTCCGATTTGAGAACCGATGAGCTGATGATACTGCGCATGCGTAAATGATTCGCGATATACGCGCTTTGAAGTCCCCATCTAAATCAAATGATTCGCGATATACGCGCTTTGAAGTCCCCATCTAAATCAAATGATTCGCGATATACGCGCTTTGAAGTCCCCATCTAAATCAAATGATTCGCGATATACGCGCTTTGAAGTCCCCATCTAAATCAAATGATTCGCGATATACGCGCTTTGAAGTCCCCATCTAAATCAAATGATTCGCGATATACGCGCTTTGAAGTCCCCATCTAAATCAAATGATTCGCGATATACGCGCTTTGAAGTCCCCATCTAAATCAAATGATTCGCGATATACGCGCTTTGAAGTCCCCATCTAAATCAAATGATTCGCGATATACGCGCTTTGAAGTCCCCATCTAAATCAAATGATTCGCGATATACGCGCTTTGAAGTCCCCATCTAAATCAAATGATTCGCGATATACGCGCTTTGAAGTCCCCATCTAAATCAAATGATTCGCGATATACGCGCTTTGAAGTCCCCATCTAAATCAAATGATTCGCGATATACGCGCTTTGAAGTCCCCATCTAAATCAAATGATTCGCGATATACGCGCTTTGAAGTCCCCATCTAAATCAAATGATTCGCGATATACGCGCTTTGAAGTC